GTGCATAAGTCAAACGCGATATTGGGCACTTTTTATGAAAAATATTTGTCTAATTAATACACCTCTTTAATCACCATTATGCCTCTTCAATATTTATAACTGATGTCTTTAATAATTCCAAATCCTCATTAAGTGAGTTAATGATATTGAAACTGAAACTTAATTTTGTTTAAGTGCCCAATGCTCCCTTGTGATCCGCCGCCTAGAAATGGGACATGAAACTGAAGTTCACCACGACTGAGCTTTGAGCTTTCGGGCAACTTTCTTCCCTCCTCTAGTATTCTACCTTGCTCAGTTCTTTTATCTTTCGCTATTCTGCTCACCCTATTCTTACAGGAAGAATCCATTTAATCCTGGGGAGTGCCGCTTCTTACTTTGCCGGTAGTTGCAGAATAGCTCTTAAGGACAGTGTCTGTGAGACACGACTCGGATTTACCATTTCTTTGCAAGTGTTGCTGTCAATAGGGTTTGCCTAGCATTATAGAGGAGGTGGAAGATCTGTTGGATTTTGGAGAATTTCAGTGTTGCCACCAATACATAATTGGACATTCTTTTTTGGGATCATTGAAGAATGAACCTGAGCCAAATTCACACAACCAAGAAGAGACATAAATTCTATGTTAGGAATGTGAGAGAGATCTGGGAGTGCAATGAGGTCTTTCAAATGTGATAGAAAGATTTCCTTTAGATTTGGAAAAAGTTGGGAAGGAGAAAAAAAAAACAAAGTTAAATAAATTAGATAACTACACGCGCATATAATTTAATCAATAATTTCTCACATGCCAATTACAAGATGAATTGGATTTCCCAGGGAAAAAAAAAAAAAGTTCAACTACTGTTTAACCATCAATTTAAAAGGCGTGAAGCAAATATTTGCATTGTAAATGACTTGATCAGTGTTTGAGGTGAGATCTTAGAATCACCTCGTGAAAAAAATTATGACATGTAAAACATGGTATGTAGCTTATTTCCATCCCAAAGTTGTTAGATATTACTATAAGGCATTTCAAGTGTAATAAGATTCTTGGCACATAAATGTAATGGGACGCATAGTAGTGGATATTCTTCCCAACTGAAAAACCTCATTCCTTCTAAAAGATAATCCAAGTCTTCACAAATATTATTCTACTTTGAAGGCTTTTCCTGATCAGATTTGTAAACTTTAAGAAATACCAAATTATACATCTTTCAAAATTACTAGCTCTCGGTGTAATCCCATTTATCTTGCTCACATCCGATGACATGCATGGAATTGCCTCAATCCCCTATTAACGTCAAATCAAAGGAAACAGTACAAGAAGACCAGTTAATCTCATGCGCCAAAAAATCAGTACGAAAAGTAAAAGATTTGGAGCCGGGATGAATGTAGACCATTTTATAGCCTTTAATAGATACACTTTCTTCGTTTTCAATTTTCATATGCTATGGTAATAGCTTGTACTCGCATGTGTATGGATATACACACTTACACGTACTATACCAATTAGCAAGAGAAAAATCAATCTTGGGAATCATTTCGTTTATCACTTAATGAATATTCTATGAACACTAATTTTATCTTTTAAAATAACACGTCACAATATTTCTAATGCAACCTTAGTCATTTAAATCAAGAAAGATTTTCTTATAGGAATAATCTAATTAATAAAAATAAAACAGAGGTACCTCGAGATAAATGTTGACACTTACCATCACCAAAGATCTTAACGAGTAAAAAAATAAAGAAAAACAAATATCACTTGGAATCTAACAACTAAAATGACAAAGACAAAAAGATAAAATAATAATAAACATAATAAATCATCACTTTGTCACAAATTGAAAAATCATAAATGTCCTCATGCCTTCATAATCGAATAGGGGTTTAAGGACTGAGGAATAACTGCTACCTAACAATTTCAAAGCCCATTTCCAACACAAGATCGTGCATCCCAATCTTGCCTTTTTGAGGCACCGAAATGAGTGAGCTCTCTCTAAGAACACTCATCTCAGTGTGCACAGAAGAGCCGTGTAATTGTCTTATCAGATCAAAAGACTTATAAACTCTTGCATTGATTATGAATGCCAGGTCAAGGAAAAGATTTTGTTCTTTGTCATCGAGTCCATCAAAACTCAACATCAGAACATCAACAATGTCCTTATAGTCCAATAAAAACATTGGTCCCAGCCCTTCTAGGCAACAAGTGAAGTCAAGTCGTGCCGCGTTTTGTCACTTCTGTGGATTACCCTGTTGCTTCATTGGATTATCATTCGGCCATTTGCTTGTTCGGAGGGTGAGGGTGTGTCTTCTTTTCTCTTTTCCTTTCTTTTTCTCTTTATAAATATTTCAAAAGTGGCACGAGGTTGCGAGACAACTAAACTTTACTTATTTATTTCATGCTCTTGTTTTTAATCAACAACAACGTTATTTATTTTAAAACTAGTTATAGGGAGTATAAGTATGCGTGTTAAAGTTGTTTTAATGGTTATGGTGCTTTAATTTCTTTATTATTTCTTTTACAAAGAAATTTCCAAGCTTTTGCTATTGTGGCAGACATAGCGTTACGTTCTTTATGCGCACCGCACTGTTTGATGACTATACAAATACATATTTTGGAGGCTCTAATATCCCACCTCTTTCCAATGTTTATTATAATACCCAACCTTCTTATTACTCTGTCCCGTATTAAATATAAGAACTACATGTCTAATATTAATTTTAAAAGATTAAAAAAATTAGTTCAGATAATTATTTGTGAAAAAGGATTCTTAATATGCGCAACCAATGCGTAAATTCTCCTAAAATAGCTTTTATATAATTGTAGTAATTTCGTATTCCACACCTTAGAATGAGAACATGTGAGATGCTTATATTGTTTCTCTCATTTTTGCTCTGTTTTAACTGACGAATAGAGTTATAACTCTTCTATTGCAACTGACCAGCTACTAGTATTGCCATGTAACACCCTGAAAGACAAAAGAGAAAAACTGCGCACACAAAAATCACTTCAAAAGAAAGAAGTAGAGATGATTTACATAAAACAGAGGGAGCGCTATTTACCAACATCTCTTTCTTCTTTGAGAGCTCTCAAGGTATTGGGGTGATTGTTTGCTTTGGTGCTTTTATGGTGTTCTTTGAAAATGTATCTTTTTGGCAAAATGTTCTTTTTTTGTCGCATATTTATGTGCTCTGATATGGCCAAGAAACAGAATAAACCACGCTCATTGATGATCTTATATGTGAGAAATTATTGTTAGGGTGCAATCTGATGATGCATTAGTCATCCTTCTAAGCAACAGTGATCTCTATATTAGACTTCGGTCATGATGGAACCTTTTTGTTGTTCCTGTTTTCATCTTTTGTGTTAGGGGACATGCTAGAAAATATTACTAAAGCTGATTATTAGTCTTCACTTAGCAACTTAAGATTTTGGGTTCCAGCTACCCTTTTGACATTTTAAATTTCTTATACCCGTGTGCATGTGCATAAAATTGATTAGATAGACACTATGACCTAATTGATGTTATTCATGATTGCTTTTTGCAGACTGGCACCTTTCAAAGATAGGTCGATCAACAAATGGCAGAGGATGACACAAGTGACAAGTGATGCTGCTGCCTTTAACATGTACGTTACAGGATATAAGCCACCAAGTTGCTACTTATATGAGGGATCCTAGTAGAATGATCGAGCAAATGAGGCTGAGAACATCTGCTGTTAGTATATTTGGAAATGCAAGACAATGTTGTCTTTTTTGTTTTTGAAACATGATTCAGTTTACAGTTTTCTCACAATCATAAAGTCAGACCCATTCAGGCTTTTTTGGTTCTTTTCTAATTTTTGAGTGCCTTTCGGTCTATGTATACTGACATCAAGAATATGTTTAATAACCACCAACTTTTTTTCTCATTTCTGCATGCACTGTCACTAGCATTGTCTTCAGATTCTTGAGACCAAGGATAACTTTAAGGAAGAGGTTAGTCAAATTCATTGCTGATTGAGTTAAAACAGAACCTTTATGTTTTTCCCCATGTTGAATCGTGCAGACAAAAGCAAGTCATTTTGGTATGCACTATGTAATAGTTTTAAAGGAAGCCAATCAAGTGTTTCAATCATAGAATTTATGTCTTCATACTCTTAATGCTTGGCATTTTGTTATTGATTATTATTTTAGTATCCTTTTTACCTGTTCTGTTTGCTTGTGCTTAGCAACGTAGATCAATATTTGTTTCCAACATGACAGTTATGAATTCAAATTTATTCAGGAAACTCATATTGATGGCGATCCCAAACTTCTAGATGACCCTAAATTTTATCAACAATTATTAAATAAGTTATGGAACATACACATGCGGAAAGTAACGAGCAATAGAACAATTATTGAAAAGCAACATTAAGATTAATAATTTCAAGAGTATTTTCCAAAGTTGTGAGGAAACGCTTTATGGATCTCACTTTAAAAATATATATCTTTAATGTCACATAATGTAAAGGGAAAATTACTACTAGACCTCGGGCAAGAAAACCAAGTATAATTGGATTTTTTTATTTTGGAAAAAAAATATAAATGACCACGTTGCCTATTAACCACGTTGATCAACTTGGAATGATTGACCAGTGGCCAGTCAAACAAATATATTTTATTTTAAGGTAGTTCACAATTTACAATTTAAATATTATAACATTTTAACATTTACAAGTTGAGTTAATTCATAAGTAATCATTCTACTTTCTTATAATAAAATAGCTTAGTATGGAAATTGTTTGTCACGCTAGATATTATACTTACATCACAGGGAGAGTAACATGCATAACAAGCGCAGTCATTGTGAAGCCAAAATAAGAGTAACAATTTTTATGTTCTAAAGTTGTAAGGAGGCCCTCCGTGAATTACATATGAAAAAAAACAAAAAATTAATGTATCATAATAACATAATGTGAATGTGCGATGAAAAGATAAATGAGACTGATTCAAATAATAATTTTATGGCTTGAGAAATTTAAATGATAATTAATATCATCAATAATGCTCCGCATAGTAAACAACTAAATCATGATCATCGAAATGATTATTTGACAAGTATTCGCTGCGGAAACAAAGAAAACGAGGATCGTGTGGCGTCCTCTCCAAGTAGTTATAAAAGACTCCGAAAGAATGATGACGTAAAGGGGATATTGGTGAAGAGAGTTGTACTGCTAAGAGAGGCTGAATCCGCCTTCTGCGATCTTCATTAAGTGATTTGAGGATAATTGAAACTTGAGGGATGCTGCTGCAACTTGCATTATTCCCAATAATAATATCACTCTCTTTTAATGTCACTCGAACCAATAATGACCAGCGAGGGATGGTGTTGAGAATAAGTGTTGTTATTATTAATGTGGTAGCACTCTTACTATCATTCTCATCATCATCCTCTTCTTGTTCATCTTCCATTAATAATAATGCCGTCTCTACTACTTGATCACCTTTACTGTTCATTTCTCTTTCATTCTCACTAATCATTTCTCTCTCATCCTCATCCTCTTCTTCATCATCTTCTACCCCCCTTTCTTCTCCATCACTCCTCACCCACACAGCAATACTAAAGTATGTATTTCCATTGTAATAATGATTAACATCATAGGTATAATGTTGCTTGAAATCATGCCCAAACTCAATTGGACTCTCTAACCATTTAACTCTCCTCACAAATGGAAGTAAAGTCGCCAAACTTTGTATTCCCATTCTCATGAATTCTGCCGTCTCTTTCAATGGCATTCTCACATGCTTAAATCCAACACCACATATCATCTTGCCATATAACATCACCTTCATTGTCACTTTATTGAATGTCAAATCGGCAAGATCCAAAGAATTGTGCACAATCACTAACCCTGATGAACTTCTCTCGTGCATACTGCCCCCAACATTTATCTGCATTGGCCCACAATCTTTTATAAATAAATTGATATCCTTTTCCGGGACAGTTGAAGAATGGATTTGACCCGAATTCACACAACCACGAAGAATTATCCGTTCAATCTTAGGGGCTTGAGACAAATCCGGGAGTGCCCTGAGATTTTTTGAATCCCATAGACTTATTTCCTCCAGGTTTGGAAATTGCTAGGGGAAGGGAAAAAAAAGCAGTAGTGTTAAATAAATTACATAACTATTCATATGTACAATTTACTCAAGAATTTTTCTCATGCCAATTACAACAGCAGTTGGACTCTCCCGCAAATAGTACAATTACAACTCAACCCTCAATTCAATGATAGTAATAGAGCAAACATTTGCATTGTGAATTATTTTAGTTAATGTTTCTTAGAATCACAGCAAAAAAATTTATGACGTATGAAAAACTATCTGTACCTGGTATCCATTCCAAAGCTGCTGGATATTACTCTTTGGCAAATTAAGCTTAATAAGATTCTCAGCACAAAATTGTAATGGCACTGATGGTAGTGGATATCCTTCCCAACTAAGAAACTTTAATTCTTTTGAGAGATAATCCAAATCTTCGCAAATATTTAACTTTGAACGCTTTCCCCGATCTGACTTGTAAACTTTAAGGGACATTAAATAATGCATCTTTCGAAAATGACTAGCCGTTAATGTAATGCTTTCTATCTTGCTTGCATCCAATGACATGCATCGAATTGCCTCAATTCCCTAATAATAATAGCAAATCAATGGAACACATGATTATCATTTCCTTAAAAAATGATCATAAATACCATAGAACAATCAAATATATCAACTTTTAAAAGTATCCAAATTAACACCATGATACGCATTTTATTCAAAATTGCTTGCAATTCATGTTTTTCTCTTAATATGTGAATTTCTCAAAAATCATAAATATGCTGACACACCGATGCATATACCTACATGCATACGCACATATTTATAGCATAACTAGAAAGGCAAAAAGTGTTCCCCCCCCCCCCGATTTTCACATTGTACTTCAAATAACAGTTAGTTAGGCCGGCTCACACGTGCGTATGCATATATCACTTAACAAAAATTCTCTGTGGACTAATTTTATCTTATAAAATAACAATTGTCAAAAAAGTCCCAGCTACTTTTAAAATATAATTCTTCTGAAAATTACTAGTTGTTAATGTAATCCTCTATCCTTCTTACTTGTTCTGCTTGCTTGTTCTTAGCAACGTAGATCAATATTTATTTCCAACATGACAGTTATGAATTTGAATTTGTTTGGAAAACTCATATTGATGGCAATCCTAAACTTCTACATGACTCTGAATTTTATCAACAATTACTAAAGGAGTTTTTCGAGACAGTTGATCCTACACCGTCCGGTAAGCAATAATTGTCTTGTTTTTGGCTGAACAGCATTATTTATGTATTTCAACCATATTCTTACTTCCGATGATGTCGCTAGAATATTAGACTGGTCAGGACATCTTTTTTTGTTTAACCTATAATGTATCTTGGCAATTATGAGCGAATGACACTTGATATTTAGCGTGAAAGGTTTCCTAGAAAGATTGTAGAATTAGTAGTGATTCATTAGTTTTTTCCATCTAAATAGTTTTGATTCAATTTTTTGAGCCTAGAATCAGCACAAGCTACTTTTCTAGAAATCATAGTGTTAACCTTATGCCATGCAAGCAAAAACCACTTTTTTATTTTCTGCCGTTGTGAATCATTCAGAGAAAGCACTTTATGCTTTGAAGAAGACACAACCAAAGAAAGGGAAAATTGTCAATCGTCAGGCCTCAAAAAGTCACAAGATAAGGTTAGTTGATGAACATGGCATTTCCTTGTTTTGTGCCATTACTTTTTGTGACGTGTATATGCATATATATTGCTAAATTTTCCAGAACTAAAAAGAGATTTTTCACTAATTTGCTGTTTATATGGTGCAATGTGGCATCGAAGGTATAATGTTCATGAAAATATTCTAAACTTCATGGCTCCCAAATCCATAAATCTTCCTCCTATGGTTCCTAAACTTTTTGAAGATTTGTTCTGATTAAAGTCACAAGGATCATCTGCTGGGACAACATAATCATACGCTTGGAAAACAGATAATGACATCAAGTGTTGTGCAGTAACTTGTCATAATATATTTGTACTTATTTAACCAACATTATATTGTTTATTGGGGAATTTTATTTTTCTCCCCAAAAGGCAATAATTTAGTGTAGTGGTAAGGATTGGTAGTTTACAAAAGGTTTTAGTTTAAATCTTCTCTAATCTTAATGTATTTATCTTCTTGTGGATGGCATGTATTTCCATAAGCAATCTATCTAATTGAGGCATAGTTATCCATTACATTCATACTGAATAGCAATTCCATTATGTGAGATGATGGTTGATTTAGATAAACCCTATTTAAGATGCATACATAAACAGTACATGCTTGATTTTTAAGTTTACATCAAATTTCATTTTAGTTTCTTAAGTTTATAAAGTGTATTTTTAGTTTCTTAATTTTAACATCCTAAATTTAAGATTAAACTAAAATTTGACCTGGATTTAAAGGATCAAACTTATATTTTATCTTTTTTTGGGTTAAATTTATATATAACTAGGATAAATTCAGTAATTTAGTGGAAAGATTGGTGTTGTTACCTATGTAACAAACTTGGAAAGTTTCTTTGAGTAGCATTTTAACAAATTCAATAATTTACAAGAAAGATTAATCAACCGTGTAAATAAAATCAATGTGAATGGAAATTTTTGTCAATTTACTGCTAGTCTCACTGTTACTTACACCATGCTTCCAAAAGTTAATAACTATTTCAAAGTTGATTAATAAATCACACCTGACGTAATTGCATGCTCCAAACAATTTGAGTCTTATTTAAAGAAAGGATTTTTTTTTTTAATGGTCGAGTCTAAATAAAACTGAAGAACTTCAAGTTAAATATTAAGACTAACTAAAAATTTTAACGAATAAACTAATTATTTTAAGATAAATACATGGTCAAGAGATAAAAAAAAATTAAGGGCATAAAATATAGAATAATTTTTTAAAAATAAAACTGTTACCTCGTCATTGTTGAAAAATGATAGATATCATTGTGCCTCCATTAACAGATAGAAGATATAAAAGTGAGGGAGAAGAAAAATTAAAATCTGTCAAACCTGCTTCTTTTTCATAAGAAAATCAAACTTATTAAATTTTTTTACTCTCCCATTATCATTCAACCCGACAAAGCCAATGAGTAAGGACGTGGTTTTTGCTGTGAAGAAATAACGATTTATTGTAATAAAATATGAGTTATGGTAATATTTTCTATTATAGTTTAATTTAGTAAAATCTATTTTATACAATCAGACTATACATGTTTTTTTCCAGACAAATTACAGGATACGCTATATATGGTAAATAATGAATAATCATGCTGCTTTCCTAACCCCTTATTTGGATAGAGAGAAAATGAGGGAGGAAAGAAAATTAGAGGGAAAAATGAAGACAGAAATGAGTTTTCTCTTATTTGAATGAGGAAAGAAAAGCAGGATGAAAGAAAAATAGGAGAAAAAAATAAGGTGCGGGACCCACGTCATTTTCTTTTCAACTTTTTTCTCCACATACAGAGAGAAAACTCACATTCCTCATATACTCTCCCTCATACTAGGTACATAAACATATATTTTGCCTTTAAAACAATTTTTTAATTTTATTTATGGCTATTTTTTCATTTAGCAAAATTATCTTCATGTAGCCAAATTTTATAATAAATTTTTATTATTTAGCAATAATTTTAAATAATATATATTTTATTTATTTTCTTTTATTATATTTAATTTAAAAATTATCCACTTTTTTGTTTTTTGTTAAAAATAACATTTTTATTAAACTATTTGATTTTTAAATATAATAATATGATAATATATTTTTATTAATTAATTTTATTTAAATTATTTGATAATGTAATATATTTTGACATATAGATAAGGGTATTTTAGTCATTCACATGTTTGCTAATTTTTTCCTCTATATTTTCTCTCATTCATCCAAATAAGATGGGTAATAATATTTTCTCTTCACTTTTCTCTTCTCTTCATTTTTTCTCCTTTTGTTTTCTTTCTTCCCAACTTTTTTTTCCCATCCAAACAGAACATAAGGAAATCGCCTCGCATGGAAAATTATTTCTCGATTTATTTATAAATTAATTATATAATACACACAAGCGAAAAGTAACAAACAATAGAACAAAGCAATATTAATATTAATAATTTCTATTTTCTAAACTTGTGAGGGAGCACTCTACGAATCACACTTAAAAAAAAAAAGTATATATTTGGTGTCACATAATGTGAAGGGAAAATTATCATTAGATTTCAAGTGAGAAAACCAGGTATAAGTAGATTTTTCTAATTCCTTTTAATATTAATAAATTCTAAGAAATTTAAGAGTAATTTTGGGAAGAAAAAAAAGTGTAAATGACCACAGTGCCCGTTAACTACGATCAACCTGGAATGATTGGTCGATCGAGCAAATATACTTTATTTTAATATAGTTTGCAATTTAAATATTATAAAAATTTTAACATTTACAAGTTGAGTTGATTCATGAATAATCATTCTACTTTCCCATAATAAAATTGCGTAGTAAGGAAATTGTTTGTCATGCTAGTTATTATACTCACATCACTTGGAGAGCAACACACATTCTAGGCGCAGTTATTGTGAAGCCAAAATAAGATTAACAATTTTTATGTTATAAAGTTGTGAGGAGGCCCTCCGAACATGAATTGCATATTAAAAAAACAGAAAAATTAATATTTCATAAAAACATAATATTAATATGCAATAAAAAAATAAATGAGACTGATTAAAATAATAATTTTATGACCTGAGAAATTTAAATGATAATTAATATCATCAGCAGTACTCCCGAAAGCTAACAGTTAAGAGAGGATGATCGAAATAATTATATGACCCGTATCTACTATTGAATAAAAGAAAACGACGATATTGTGGCATGCTCTCCAAGTGGTTGTAAAAGACATGGAAAGAATGACGAGGTAAAGGGGATAATGTTGGGGAAGAGAGTTGTACAGCTAAGAGAGGCTGAATCCTCCTTCTGCAATCTTCATTAAGTGATTTGAGGATTATTGAAGCTTGAGGGATGATGCTACAACCTGTATTATTATTCCCAATAATAATATCACTCTCTTTTAATGTTAGTCGAACCAATAATGACCAGCGAGGAATGGTGTTGGGAATAAGTGTTGTTATTATTAATATGGTAGCACTCTCACTATCATCCTCATCATCATCCTCTTCTTGTTCATCTTCCATTAATAATAATGTCATCTCTACTACTTGATCACTTCTACTACTCATTTCTCTTTCATTCTCACTAATCATTTCTCTATCATCCTCATCCTCTTCTTCATCATCTTCCACACGACTTTCGCCTCTATGACCCCTCACCCTCACTTCAATACCAAAGCAATCATTTTGACTGTAATAATGATAAACATGATAGGTATGATGTTGGTTGAAATCATGCCCAAACTCAATTGGACTCTCAGACCATACAACTCTCCTCATAAATGGAAGTAAAGTCGCCATTCTCATGAATTCTGCCTTCTCTTTCAATGGCATTCTCACATGCTTAAATCCAGCACCACACATCATCTTCCCGCATACCATCACCTTCATTGTCACTTTATTAAATGTCAAATCGACAACATCCAAATAATTGTGCACAATCAGAAACCCTGATGAACTTCTCCCTTTCATACTGCCCCCAACATTTATCCGCATCGGCCCACAATCTTTTATAAATAAATCGACTTGCTTTTCCAGGACAGTTGAAGAATGGATTTGATCTAAATTCACACAACCATTAAGACTCATGTACTTAATCTTTGGGGCTTGAGACAAATCTGGGAGTGCCATGAGATTTTTTGAATTCTCTAGCCATATTTCCTTTAGATTTGGAAATTGCTGAAGAAAACAAAGTAGTGGTGTTAAATAAATCAGATAACTCCACATACGTACAATTTAATCAAGAATTTTTCTCATGCCCATTACAACAACAGTTGGACTCCCCCCAAATTGTACAATTACTACTCAACCATCAACTGAAAGATAATAATAGAGTAAACATTTGCATTTTGAATTATTTTAGTCAATGTTTCTTAGAATCACAAGAACAAACAATTATGACATATGAGAAATTATACGTACCTGATTTACATCCTAAAGCTAATGGACATTACTCTTTGGCAAATTAAGTTCAATAAAATTCTCAGCATAAAAACAATTAAACATTTGCATTGTGAATTATTTTAGTCAATGTTTGATGCCACGTCTTAGAATCACATACACCAACAGAAACATTATGACATACATTTGAAAAAATGATGCGTACGTACCTGATTTCCATCCCAAAGCTGTTGGATATTACTGTTAGACAAATTAAGTTTAATGAGATTCTCAGCACAAAATTGTAATGGCACATATGGCAGTAGATATCCTTCCCAATGAAGAAACCTTAATTCTTTTGAAAGATAATCCAACTCTCCGCAAATATTCAACTTTGAAGGCTTTCTTTGATCAGACTTGTAAACATTAAGGAACATTAAATAATGCATCCTTTGGAAATGACTAGCCCTCAATGTCATGATTTCTATCTGGCTTGCATCCAATGACATGCATCGAATTGCCTCAATCCCCTGGTAATCATATCAAATCAAGGGAAACACAATTATCATTACCTAAAAAAATGACCATAAATACCATAGAATATTTAAATATATCAACTTTTAAAATATCCAAATTAACATCGCTATATGCATTTTATTCAAAATTCCTTACAATTCATGTTTTTCCCATAATAAATAAATTTCTAAAAAATCATAAATATGTAGACACACTGATGCGTATACCTAGCTATATGCATGCGCAGATATTTAGAATATAACTATAAAAGTGAAAAGTCATTTGTTTTTTATTTTCACATTGTACCTCAAATAACAGTTAGTTATGCTCACACGTGCGTATGCATATATCACTAATCACTGGATGAAAATTCTTTGTAGACTAATTTTGTCTTTTAAAATAACACTTGTCACAAAAGTCCTAGCTAATTTTAAATTATAATTCTTTTGAAAATTACTAATTGTTAATGTAATCCTCTTTATCGTATTTCTGATGTCTAATGATAAGCATTAAATTGCCTCAGCCGCCTACTGATCAAACTATGGGGAAAAACACCAGTAATATGTAAAAGGTGAACAAATAACCAAGACAATAGTTAAATATATTTCCTTTAGAAATTTCTTTGATGAACTTTATTCAAACAATTCATTTTATCTTGCAATAAATAAATTGGCCAAAACAAATACACAGCCACGCTAGCAGGGACAATCATATGAACGGCCTTACCATGCGCACATTTAAATTTTATTTAAGGATCAATATAGTTTTTGGTCCCCTCAAATTTATTATCATTTTGATTTTAATCCCTCGAATTTCAAATCATAAATTTTGATCTCTCCATGTTTTCTTTCCATCCAAAACATTGCTTCTTATAACTTAACAAAAACATGTACCATTTTGCTCCTTAAAACCAAAGCCCTTTGTTTGAAACTCAAGAGAATAAAACTAAAATTTATTCAAATTTAAGGGACCAAAATTATATTAACCCTTGATATAACTGCTATTCTTAAAGAAAAATTAGTGCATATAAATCCCCCCGGGGGCATATATAAAATTTTTAAAAATTCTTTTTATGTTCAAATTTCATAATTTGTACTTTTTTGCAATAGTAAATTTTAGGAGAATTACACTCAAGTCCCAAAAAAAAAGCCTATAATGACAGGTTTCAAAATAAAAAATGACAACTTCTATAACTTAGTTTGTAATTATTTTTCTTCCTTAAAACTTCATTATAATTCTCTCCTAAATTTTTATTAAGAAAACGCGTTAGAATGCAAATGCAGTGTGAGTATGCACACAATCACCTTTATACTACATCAACTATCAATTAATATAAAGATTAAGAATGTCAATCTTTGTGAATAACTGTATAATTTATTCAAGATTGTTCATGCTCTAAATTTTAGAAATGTCTTATACCATACTAATCATATTCTGTCTAAAAACTTAAGAAGAGGAATATTTCAAAGTTGAAGATTAATAAATCACTCCTAATAGGAAGACTATATACGACCCCTACCAATTTTAGTTGAAGAAATGACTTTTTTTTTTTAAATAAAGAGTCTGATTCCGCATACATTGAGACTTACCGAAGATTTTAGAGAATAAACTAGTACTCCTCTGGTCCTAAATATAAGATCTCTTTTGTAGTGTAAATTATACTATGAAAGGGGTCTTATGTTTAGGACTAAAGGAATAGCTTTTATGAAAATATAATGACAATGAAATGAAATATTAAGAGAATAAAGAATGTAATAAAATCTGAAAAATAAATTATTATACCTTGTCATTTTTCATGAAATGAAAAACATCTTGGGGTCTCCAAAGTCGAATGGGTTTTTCAGGGTTAGATATTAATTGTTGCTGAGAAATTTCAAGCCCCATCTCCACTAATAGAGCATGCATCTCAATATTACCATATCTATCCACTGAAATGAGGGATCTCTCTTTAAGTACACTTATCTCAATACGTGCATGAGAGCCATATAAGCCTCTTGTACAATCTAGAGAAATCCCATGTCCTACGTTCAAGAAAAATGCTAGGTCAAGAAATACATTCTTCTGCATGTCATCATCAAGTCCATCAAAACTCAATTTCAACACTTTAAAAATGTCCTTGTGAAGAGTATGATTTAGTTTTGTCAGAGCACTGTCCCATACTTCTTTTCCTCTGCCATGAAGAAAGCAACCCAACACTTTTAGAGCTAAAGGATTTCCATGACAATAATACACTGCCCGCTTTGATAACTCCAAGTAGTTTTTGAATGGCTGATTTTGCTTAAAAGCTTTCAAACTAAAGAGATGAAGAGCATCATGGTGATACATTGTTGGAACACGATATGTTAGAAATGCAGAAGTATTTTTAAGCACTTGCATGTCTCTTGATGTGATAATAATTCTACTTCCTTCCCCAAACCAACCACATGCTTTGATTAAATTTTCAGCCGCCATAAAATTGTCCACATCATCAAGTACCAGAAGAATTTTTTTACGGTGAAGCCTTCTTCTCACAAAATCAGACCTTAAATTGTAAGTGTTAATCTCCTCATCTTTTAATAATTCTTTAAGGCATTTTTCCTGTAATGCATTCAAGCCACCATTCTTTTCCAGCAGTTTTCTTACATCTTCAACAAAGCAGGAAGCTTCAAACTCTGCTCTCAACCTCTCAAATACGGCACTAGCAAGAGTGGTCTTGCCTATACCACCCATACCCCATATTCCCACAATGCAAGCTTCACTCAGTAGCTCTTCAACTTCCTGAATCTGATGATCAATTCCAACTAGTCCTTCCACATGAAAGGACGACTTGCGATTCAATTTGCTCAAAATATCTTTGACAATCTTTTTGACAAGTTTAGCTTCAGGCCTAGCATAAATATAAATTAAAATCATGGTTATGTTTAATACCCAAATTTAAGAAAGAAATATGTAAGAGAAGAATGAGCATAACAAAAGCTACCTGATATTTTTTGAATCCCACCCAAATAGACTTGCTGCTTTGATCAAAGCATTTTCCCACTTCTGCACTCTTTCTTGGTTGTGCTTAAATCTCTGCTTGAGCTTAGCAAACCCATCTCCAAAACTCCCATTCTGTTTGCGAATATTTGATGGATCTACCTGGAAGAAAATTGGGATGACAAGCCTTCCGTATTTATCCTTACATTTCATAATATGAAAGAGCTCATCCATACACCAAGTTGAAGAAGCATAATCTTTGGAGAAAATAATCAAAGATATCTCTGATTCTTCTATTGTTTTCAAGAGAATAGATGAGATATGATCTCCTTTGTGGAGCTTGTGATCCATAAAAGTATGAATGTTAGCTTCGCGAAGTGCTTCATAGAGATAACTTGAGAAAGCGTCACGAGTATCTTCCCCTCTAAAGCTAAGAAAGACGTCATATTTGGTCGCAGAAGGAGCAACAATGATATTAGAAGGAGAAGAAACCGTGGGAATCGAATCAACAGCATCTTTACAACTACAGATGGAAAGAAATCTTCATGAATAATAAATATTGGTCTATCAGCAAACCGTATAAAGTGAACAATTAAAGAAGATGTTACCTATCAGGAAGCGGAGAGATTAATCTGATAGCCTTAGAAATTGCTATAGCCAGCAAAATCAAGATAGCTTCTATAAGCGTTAAAGAAAAGGTTGCATCCATGTGACTGTAATCTCTTGTTTTAACCTGAAACTTTTCACCAACCCGAAATTAGCGTGATCAAGCAATTTTTTTTTTGGCTTTAACTTCTCAGGAGGTGCCATGGTTTGGTTCTTGATTAACGTGATAAAAATATCCAACAAAAATATTTAGGGAGCGAGAACAAGTTACAGAACGATTGATGCTAAAATGAAGAACATGTCTTTATGGATAGAATAATGCGAAAGAAAGAATTCATCACGTGATCAACTTACTAGTCAAGTGCACCCAACAACTTTACTGATTCATTTGATGTTTTTTATCAACAACTTAATTTATTCTAAAAGAAGCTATAGTGAGTAAAAGTCCATGTGTTGAAGGCACATCAGGCCGTGTGTTAATTTCTTTATTTTGTCAGAAGTTGTTGGACTGAATTAATGGATACGTATTAATGTTTGCATGATTTCTGTGAAAAATAAAACCGTATCTAGCAAGTGGATCATGAAAAAAGAGAAAAAGCCCTGTTCGTTTGTATCAATGCCTTTTTCACGTGTAACAACGAAATGGGGAGTGATTAAGGTGAAAGGAAGAACAAGCACTTTGCTTTCCTATAAAATAAATAAATGGGCCATTTATTTCATTAAGGATCCATTTGTTATAAGGGAAACTAAATGGATGGCAGGGAAATAGAGGAAAAGTTTTAATAAGTTTGATTAGAAAAATTGAAGAAGTGGAATTAAAAGCTTTTAATTAATATTATTACTATTTTATATTACTTCTTATTTTTATTAAAATTTTAAAAACACCACTTCTCTAATTTTTTTTAAATGGAGCTCAATAAAATTTTTCTTCCCCTCTCCTCCCCTTCATTTCCTTCATAACAAACAGTATTTAAAATTTGAATAAAATAAATGAAGACTATAATCAGTATATCAAGTCCACCCATATCTTAGAAGGTTTTGGGACTTTGTTTTTCAGAAGTATAAAAAATTTCAAATGTTGAAGTTTTCTTAGATCCACAACTATAAGGTAATTAGGGAGGAGAATAAAATCAACAGGTGCCACAAGGAAAAGAAAACAGCAAATCTAATGCAGAATTTTCCTGTGAAAATTTCACGGAAAAAGCTTGCAAAACAGTAGATGGAAGTAACAGAGAAGAACGTCAGCTTCATAACTTGCAAACTTGCTTTCTCTTTAGACAAGATCTTCAGATTCAGAGATCCCCGAATGCCTCACTCACATGTATTTATCTTTGTTTTAGAGGCTCTTATTCCTGTGCCGGGAAGCTCGCGTGTTGATGGTTTGGCTCTTGATTAACGTGATAGAAAGATCAAAGAAAAATATTTAGGAAGTTGCAAAAAGTTACTGACCGATCAATATATAGCAATTTGATGGAGAGTAACGATTGATACTAAAATGAAGAACATATATCTATGGATGGAATAATAGTGCGAAAGAAAGAGTTCATCATGGGGCGCAACATACCAGTCAAGTCCACCCAACAACTTTACTGATTTATTTGATTTTTTTTTCACCAACAACTTAATTTATTTTAAAAGAAGCAGAGCTATAGTGAGTAAAAATACATGTGTTGAGGGCGTATTAACCATGCCGTGTGTTAATGGTTTTTTTCTTTCAAAATAAGTTGGACTGAATAAATTGATATATCTTGATGTTTTTTAATTTTTGTTTTCCGTGCACAAAAGCAAAACAGTAGAAATTCCAGGAAAATACTGGTAAAACTGGAGATCGGCGAGATCAAGCAAATGGAACATGAGAAAAGAGAATACGCCCTGTTGATTGCCTTTTTCACTCACAGCAACAAAGCGGAGAGTGATTAAGGTGAATGAAAGAAGCACTTCACTTTTTCAAATAAAATAAATAAATCAGCCATCTACCTCACTAAGAAAAATATGAATAAATAAATGAAGAACTTCATCAATAAATCAAGTGCGTCCATATCTTTGAAGGTTTTAGGACTTTGTTTTTTCAGAAGTTGAAGTATAAAAGAAATTCAAATGTTTAAGTTTTATTAGATCTACGACAGTAAGGGAGCTAAGGAGGAGATTGAATCAACAGCATTAGGAGAAGAAATAAAACAAAAAATCTTTTGCAGGCAGCAGAATAGAAGGATGATGGATTCATGGGATAAAGAGAGTAAAAGAGAAGAAATAACCTGGATGCGGAGAGAAGCAAAAGAAACAGCTCACAAGCTAAGGGCGGTCTCAAAAATGGCAGCTTTCTCAGAATTTGCAGACAATTGCTTTCTCTTCAAACAAGTTGCTCAGATAAAGAGATGAACAAATGCCTCGATCCCTCACATATTTATGTCTTGTTTCAGCCTTTGTTGTCAACAAGTGAAGTCAAGTCGTGCCGCGTCTGTCACTTTTGTGGATTGTTGCTTTATTGTATCATCATTCAGCCATTCGCTTTTTCGCAGGGTGAGAGTGTGTCTCTTTTTCTCTTTCCCTTTCTTTTTCTCTTCTTAAATGTTTCGAAAGTGGGACGAGGTTGCAAGACAACTAAACTTTACTTATTTATTCCATGTTTTTTTTTTTTATCAACAACAACTTTATTTATTTTACAACTAGCTATAGGGAATAAAAGTACGCATGTTGAAGTTGTTTTAATGGTTTTGGTTCTTTAATTTCTTTATTATTTCTTTTACGAAGAAATTTCCAAGCTTCAGCTCTTGTGGCCGACATAGCGTTACGTTCTTTATGAGTACCGCACTGTTTGACGATTAAGCAAATGCATATTTTGGAGGCTCTAATATCCCACCTCTCTCCAATGTTTATTGTAATAGCCCAACCTTCTTATTACTCTGTCCCATATTAAATATAAGAACTACACATCTAATCTTAATTTTAAGAGATTAAAAAAAATTAGTTCAGATAATTATTTATGAAAAAATATTCTTACTATTATATGCGGTCAATGTGTAAATTTTCCTAAAATACCTTTTATATAATTGTGGTAATTTCGTATTCCACACCTTAGAATGAGAACATGTGGGATGCTTATATTCACTTCAAATTAAAAGAAAGAAGCAGGGATAGAAGTGTAGTAAATTTTCTTCTTCTTCTTCTTTTGTGTGTAAAGAAGTTAAAAATGATTTACACAAAACAGAGGGAGCATTATTTACCGACATCTCTTTCTTCTTTGAGAGCTCTCGAGGTATTGGGGATGATTGTTTGTTTTGGTGCTTTAATGGTGTTCTTTAAAAATATATCTTTTTGGCAAAATGTTCTTTTTTTGTCACATATTTATGGGCTCTGATATGGCCGAGAAACAGAGTAAACCACACTCATTCATGATTTTGCATGTGAGAAATTCTTGTTAGGGTGCAACGTGATGATGCATTAATAGTTATCCTTCTAAGCAATAGCGATCTCTATAAACATCAAATTAGCGATGGAATTTAATGACAAAATTTTCATCACTAATCAAAATTACTCACGGATTAGTAACGGAATTCAGTTAGCGACGGAATTTTTTCTGTCACTAATTCCACCGCCACTAATTAGTGACAGATTATTAACGGATTAGAGATGGAAATTTTCCGTCGCTAATTAATGGTGGATATCCCACAAAAATTCTGTCACAAAATAATGATGGAGATGAAAATTTTTATTTTTTATTTTGTAAATTTAAAATACCACATCATCACCACGTGTCCATCACTATGAGCCACCACGTCATCAATAGCTGCCACCTCACCAACTCCTCTATCTCTCTCCCATGTTGCCACGTCATCTCTTCGTCCACATTATTGCCACGTGTCCATCATTGGATGCCATGTCAACTCCTCCTCTCTCCCATGCAGCCACATCATCATATCATCCGCATCATCACCACGTCACAAATTGAGCCAATTTCTAAAGAAGTGTTGGTTCGAACCTGAGAGCCTTTGCCAGTTGAGCTAAGAAACACCTGTGAAATTCTCTTACAAAAATAAATATATATAATATTTCTAATAACAAATACAAAAATATATAACAAATATTATGTACATAATTTAATATATATTATATAATTAAATATATTATTATTTATTTGAATTTAATTTTATATTTTAGTTAAAAATTTCTAATAATTTATATTTTTATTCAAATATTTAATAAAATAATAAGTATATTATATTTTTTTATTTTCTTCTATAATATTTGTATTTTTTAATTTTTATTATTTAAAAATTATGATATTTTTATTTTTATTTTAATAATAATTTTAAAAAATAATTATTATATATTTATATTATTTTTTTGTGATGGATTAGTGACGGAATTGCGATGGAAATTAGTGATAGAAAAATTCCATCACTAGTTTCCGTCACAAAATGAGAGTTAGTGATGGATTGATGACGGAACCTTTATGTTTTTCTCCACGTTGAATCGTGCAGACAAAAGCAAGCCATTTTGGTGTGTACTATGTAATATTTTTAAAGGAAGCCATTCAAGTGTTTCAATAATAGATTTTAAGTCTTCATACTCTTAAAGCTTGGCTTTTTGTTATCGATTATTACTTTAATATCATTTTTACCTGTTCTGTTTGCTTGTGCTTAGCAACGTAGATCAATATTTATTTCCAACATGACAGTTATGAATTTGAATTTGTTCAAGAAACTCATATTGATGGTGATCTCGAACTTTTAGATGACTCTGAATTTTATCAGCAATTACTAAAAGAGTTTTTCGAGACAGACGATCCTACATCATTCAGTAAGTAATAATTGTCTTGTTTTTGGTTGAACAAGCATTATTTATACATTGTATTCATATTTTTACTTCTAATGATGTCGTTGGAATATTAGAATATTATACTACTCAGGACATCCTCTTTTATTTAACTTATAATGTATTTTGGCAATTATGACTGAATGAAACTTCATATTTAGCCTTAAAGGCTGTCTAGAAAGATTGTAGAATTAGTATTGATTTGTTTTTTTTTTCCATCTAAATAGTTTTGATGAAATTTTTTGAGCCCAGAATTAGCACGAGTTGCTTTCCCAGAAATCATAGTGT